ATGTCATCATCTCTTTCACTGAAGGACACTAGAAATCGTCTAGAGAATTGCCTTTCAGAACACAGCAAAGCTGTTTACAAGAATTATTTCTTGTTGTCTTAAAAAGTTTAAACTTTTTCTTAGATAGAGGCCTACTAAAGATAATATTAAGACCTTGAACACGTTTACATGCTGTAGCTGCTTTTATACATGTTCGCTTTACAGAAGAAGCGGGGAACCCAGAGAATTTCGTTGATGCAAACGACCCCCATGCAGAAGAAACGTAGGAATGCCCGGCAAATGGAAGTAATTATGTTTTGATCTCTGCTGTTAGTTTTTGATTGAGTTTGCAAAACAAGTCGGTGACACTTTTACATTCTTAAACACATGTGTTTCCCATTTATGGTGGAATTCCGCTGAAAAGCAGGCCGTATATGAAATCCTTTACTGTCCAGATTGTTTTTCCATTCCGGATCCAGCGCGAGCTAGTTGCATTGAGCGGTTGAGACAAAATTGGGAATTATACCCTACAAATTCCACTAGGGGGTAGACGTTCACTGCAAATAACCACACATGACCTCCATAGTCTTCGCTCTGTTTTATCTGTGTGTCTCATTTTTTCCTAAGTCGTAATTATTTATGTAACGTAAAGCTGCATTTGATTAAGTCTTTAAAGGGAGTTTTAGGTTTTCTGTTTAATTCAATGTGGGTTTTTAAAACACAAATGACCGAGAGTCTTTATTCTACAGACGTGAAGCAATTTCTGAAAACCAGAAATTTGTGAAAAGCCGGCGCCTGGCATCTTTGCTTTTGTAGTTAAAAGTGTCTGTTCTGTGCTGTGTGTTGCTCATGCCGCCATTGTGCTTTCAAAACACGTTATTAATTCCATTAAACTAACCATTAAGTAATAGCATCCGGCAGTTTTATTTACGCAAAAAGGACCAGGCAATAAATGCATTAAACAGAACTATGTATGAATCATTTGCCAAGATACGCAGACTTAGTGAGTCATATCGTATTTTTCCAAGCCTGCCCCACACACAAGCGTATGACTGGCAAGCGCAACATTTGAACCTGCTTCGCAAACAACAAAAGGCAAAGCCAGATTTTGTGGCACTACTATGTTAACGGAAGAGGCTCTGGTGATAAATAATGCGACGCCCTGTTCAGTAAATTCTGGGTTCAAATTCACTTCGGATTCGCTTCCTTTGTCTACAAGAACTAAGAAGAGTCAAATGCCCCACTTCACAATAAAGACTTAATGGTTAGGGTATAGCCTATAACCTCTGCTCCGAAATTGTTTCGTTATTGACAAGAGAAACACACAGCAGCTTTGACAGGTCTGCTTACATAGGCCACCACACGTCCTTACACGATTTTAGTATGCTATACAGATGGATCCGATGCATTACGATCTTATGACACGTTCCATTATATATCCCACAACGCGTAAGAACTGCTGCATATGAACTGCTAAAACATTTTTAAAGTTTAATTAAAGCACTACAGTTCTGATTTTGGATTTAAACGGTGTCTTCCATGTATTATGCCATATTGGCTATTGCATTATGGTTAAGCTGCTCTGTCTTCCCATTCAGCCAAATCCATCCCTCCTACATTTTTTAAAAGAAATATTTGAATATTACAGACATCAATTAGTGTTGGAAACATAGTCAAATCAACCCATAATATTCATTATTGTAACTAGGCTTAACAATATATATTTAAATAGACGTTCAAAACTCACAATTAACTGGCAAAATTGTATACGGGTTAATATCATAGATGCTTGTATGTAGAGCATAACATGCAATTTGTTTCAAGAGATTAAGTATACAGCTTTCATTATGAAACAAAAAAATCTGCTGTCTGTATATTACTACAAGTAAATGAAATGACAGAATAAATAACAAAATAAATGATACTATGATAATCATTTTAATAGTTTGAGACAGTAGGGCTGTAACTATCGGTTATGTCTGACGATTTATTTATACGAGTAATTATTTATAATATAATATAATATAATATAATATAATATAATATAATATGCATTGCGATTGGCGTGAGGCAAGAACCAACCAACTATTACAGGGTGCACACATATGGCCAATTTAACTTAGGTTGCATTTTTTCTATTGTGGAAGGAAACTGGATGATACGCTGAAAAGTCACGCACACGCAGGGTGAACATGCAAAATCCATACATACAAAACTATAGAGTGCGGCAACAGTGCTACCAATTGCATCACTGTGCTGCCCTCAGCCTTGCACGATATACAATGTAAATATCGACCTGACATTTCACACACATGCAATTGACACATCGCGAGGACCGTGATAGTCTGCTGTGTGCAAATCATCAATAAGAAGCGCTAAAATATTTGACTCAGTCATAGGAAACAAAACTTGGCAAGCTTTGGAAAATATATGAGCATGTGTGTGTATTATGCACCGTATTATGTGAAATGATGCGGCCAAGCTACGAGGCTAACTTTCATATTAGCAGCAATTGTTTTGATATGCAGGACTCACAGAAAGTAAATTAAGCACTGCGATTTAAGTAAAAATGATGACAGGCTGGGCAACCTAGAAAGGCTAAATAGCACATATCTTTGGTTGATTCTGTCAAACCTTAATGTCTTCTTTTGGGATACATTTGCATGGCATAGAAATAGGTGATATTTAAATGCTGCTTTGCAGTACTGACAACATGCTTGTTCACTTTTCATATTAAGTGCTTCCACGCAACTGATGTTTTCACTCTTTATTTGGAACTCATCCACTATGCGCAGTGTTCCTTCTGCCATATTGGCAAATTTTAATCGAGTAATCGTGACAGCTCTATTTGCAAGTATATGATTAATCGACCACTTTCTGAATCAATAAATTATCAAAATGTTTATAATTAATACGAATTGTTCTTCCTGCGGACCGATTTATCTATCTGTCTGGAGAATGCCTAGAAACTGTGATTTCGCAATTCTTGTCTTTCAAATGAAGTGGGACTATTTTAATAAATATCAGAATAACATCGATTTATACGCAAAAAAACATATATGCAAATATATGCAGAATCGGTCATCGGAAGCGGAATTTGAAAACTGATAGGTTTCTACCAATACAGTGAAAAAAATAATATTGAAACACTAAATGCCCTTTCGCTCATTAAATTTAGGCTCAGAGTTACTACAGAAGAAAATAGTTCACATTTGTTGCTTTAAATTGTTTTATGGAATTATATTGTTTGTCTTTGGGAAATAAACTGGAGATTAACTTCCCTGGTCGAATAAAAGATTTTCGGATAGCATATCTTGGTTTCTTTTTGCGTTCCATCTTGAGACCTCGTAAATCTTGTCAGTTATGGTCAGAGGAGGGGAAATAATGTGTAATTTGTTAGAGAATGTGTTAAGTTTTATGTACAAATCCTCTTATTTATTTTATTTTTTTTTAGAAATAAGTACTTTTCCATATTTGTGTCCAACATTGTTCATTACTAATCTGGTGTTAGGGTTTAATCTTGCATGCAGTCGGTCTGGCTAGTTAACTATTTTATGTCGGATTGTATTTAATTTGACTAGGCCAGTCTAAGGACCAATACGAGGCATGATTACTTTGCTGTTTTTGGTCGTTCTCTTATTAGCGAGCTGGCTGTCAGACCTTACACTGTTAGCACAAGTGATCTATACTCAACTAGGAAACGCGGCTCTGTTGAAACCAGGCAGGGGAATGGATCAGTAGTCAGTACAAAGACTTTTTTGTTTTCTTGGGCCGAGATGAATGTAGTCCTGTTAAGCTCACTTGCAGCCCCACCAAGTGGACAGGAGAACACATCTCAGTATCAACCGCTGCACACACAGAGGCTGTCTGGCGCTGTCTGGATCTTACGATGATTCATTTTTCTTGGACAGAGGACTGGGCCTTGAATAAATACAATATCCAGTTCTAGAACCTATTAAACTAGAGGTGAGACAGTCTTTGGGGATTTCTAGTTGCCATGGCTACTTGAACATACATTTTGGTACACATCATTAGTTCTCATGCACAATTTTTTTGAAGGTGTGGAAAACCATTCTGTAATTGACATAGTTTGGGATAAGTACATTAAGAGTTCCTCAGCCATCAGTATTCAAGACGCTACCTGTGACAAATGAAACTTAATATCCATGAGTGAGTAATTTAAGTGATCTCTTTATTTAAAATAACACAAGAATTAATTTGCATTGAAGAAGGACCTTAATAGTTATTTAGAGTTCTGTTAGGTGATGTTTATCCACATATATCGCATAAATAAAATCATGCAAATTCCAGTTTTTTACATATATCAGCGGCGCAGTAAAATATTGCTTCAGCTCTGGTCCCCTTTACTATCTCCTTAGACGGTTAATGTTGGTCATACTACAACCATCTAACTATCCAACCACCTTCTACAACTCCTAATTCTGGACAGGGTCGCGCGGGGGCGGGGCAGCACACGACACAACGCTGGGATATGCACGTATAACCGAAGGATATACTACTTAAATTTTAAACTTATTCGTAGCTTGTATTCCATGAAGGGACAGCAGGACAGCTCAAACGCCGAAGGGGTACGTTGAATGCATTTTAACAGTAATTTTGTCCCATGTGAATTTCTGGTTTCTACACGCATTTGATACTCTAAACAAATGGGCAGGGTGTCCGGTGTTTACAAGTTTCTACGAATATGGCTGCAGCTGCAGAATGACTATCAAACCCGTGGAAGGAGATCGAGGGTACTGAAAAAAGAAGTGTACTTCAAAACCAGCGCTTGCGCACACCAAGAATGCCGCGTAGCTAAGTGTTTTTTTACTCTTTTGGTATGCCCGTTGTTTTTCTCAACGAATGCTTTTCGCACTTGATTTTCATTGGACAAGAAATTCCCAGTCGGGAAGAGAGCGCCAATCATACTACACATCGCTGGATATGCGTTGAATAAAAATCAGGTTTTTTCATTGGGTTGAGTTACGTCATGCGGCTGCCCGCTGTGCTGTGAGGCTGGTATCTTTCTTCCCCTCTCTCTCTCCGCTCAATCTGTAACCACCAGCAACGGAGGCGGTGGGGGCACTGGACAAAAAAGCTTTTTATTTTATTTTTTAATTTTTTGTTTTACCACGCACAGTTGCGCCAGCTGTCACAGGCGTGCGCGCAAATGTAAATAAGACGTTTTACGTGTCCCAGACTTTTGGTTTGGTTACGTATTTGACAAACCCAATTATTCCTGTCCCGTTTTTCCATTTTTAAAATCAATTCTCTATGTAGCTTGTAAGTTAGCCGATGATCAGTAAAGGTCGCTACATGGTCGCCTCGCATCAGAACAGCCCGTAGCCTCGTAGGGGCTGGAGAAGCCTTTTCTTTCCTTCCTTTTCTGTCTCTTTCTCCATGAGAAGGCATCTTTATCACTACGTGCAGCCGTGCATTTGCAGATCGCATTGAATGCGTGTTGGAGGGCGCACAGGGAAAACACTGGGGTACAGCACCCAGGCAGCCAGCTAGCTGCCGCTCCACGAGCTCACAAGGGCGGCTTGGAGTTTAATTCTTTTCAGGATTTCTGTTATTCCTTTTTGTCCTTCTCCCTTTTACACATTCATAATGTTATCGTATGCGGTCAGCATGTTGGTGACGGCGCTGCTTTTCCTGGGATTTTCGCGCAGTTTGGAGGTGATTGCTCCCACCAGAGCAATTGATGGTAAGCAAAACTGATTTATCGGCCTTTTTTTCCAACGTGTGCATTTGTTGCATTTACCGATTGGCGGACACTGTTGTTGATTTTTTTTGTTTCATTCGACCCAGTCTGTCAGTCTGCTGCGTGTCTTTGATACCAGAAATGTGATGCATACCACTTGTTCGTGAAATGAATCTTCACCAACTACTTACGTACCTGCCAAAAAGCAGACCCGCCGAATAAAACGAATCTGTTACTGTAATCGCTGCAACTGGTTAATATGTCCTGCGGTTATTTGCAATTCGTCTATTTTATCGTTTTGGGAGCTGATTGCTGTTTTGACGCAGCACTACGCACAATATTCATCGTTTGTGTTTGATTGCGTTTAAATAAGTGTTTTTTGACAATGCACATGCAAACCCGGGCACCGGAGCGGCAATAATGTCACAAATATGTAAATCGAAAAGGTAATGGCGCGTTAGTTTGGCGAGGGGGGATTGATCGTCTGGATCGCGTCTGATTTTTATTCCACAAAGACCAAACGTGGTGATCGCATCGCTGCAAGCCTGATGTCTGTATTGCGTAGGTCGGATACTGAATTGGTAATATTATTATTGTTAGCTGTGGCTTGTGTGCTGCTGTGTGATGGGGCGGCCTGGCGGGTGATAGGAGCAGCTGCCCCTGCATTTCCCCAGCGTGATCAGCTGTCCATTATGTTTTATTTTCCCGTTTTTCGGATCCGGTGTCTCACAGTTGCGCAGTTTCGGGCGCTGATTTGGCGGCGTATCTGCTGCGATGAGGGCGACGCCACCGCGGCGCTTTCTAGTGTGTTACCTGCTCCTCTGTCATGTCTTCGTCTTGTATAAACGCGTCCGCCCTTTAAGCTTTCTTTACCTCCCTCCCCCATCGCCATCATCGGTGAATCAGACAGGGATGTGCTTTTTAATTCATTATTTTCTGTTGTAGCATTTGAGCATTGAGTCTGCATCCTTGTCGCGTACCCCATATCTCTCACGGCATGGCAAATCGTCGGCTTTCCAAAGCAGGCTCGGGACCAGCGGCAGGGGGGGCTTTTGGGAACCACGGATTGTCAGAGTTAAATGGCTACCATTTGTTTGAGGGGCCCTGGACTGGGGAGTACGGGTTGGGGGGTGGGGTGGCTTTATTTACCGCGGCCGCTCAGGTGGCGATCACCCAGAATCCGGTTAATTATTCATTTATTGTGATTTTTCCCATGTTCGTCTCCAGTTATCACTAGATCGCCTTGTGGGACATCGATGCCGTTTATATGTACAGTGCGCTCCTGCATGTAAAAGCCGGCCAGACACGAGGGTCTGAACGCCCCCCCCCTTTAGAATTCACGCGGAACTTCTGGAAACAATTAAGCAAGCGCCTCCCCGATGCATTTCGCAATAAAGAAGGGCGTGCGTGTGGAAGCAATGTTCCGCCCCCCAACCCCCCTTCGGCCTCTCTACCTGACCCCCCACCACCAACAGGAGACCCCAGCCCGAACATCTTCTGGAGAAATGGCTCAGTCATCATGTATCTTGCACCCTGTGAAAGACTGTGTTCTATTAAAAAAAATACTCAATCAGTCTCCTAAAATAATGTATTTTTAATTGTTAAATCTCAAATGTTATTTGAACCTCACAAAAGTGGCTTCAGCTTTACTGTTGAACCCTTGATTTCAGTCATGAAGCATTGGATATTGATTGCCCAAACAGTTATGGCACCGTGACATCAGAGAGCATAGTACACGTGGACTGTGCAAGTCAAACTGACAAATAACCTGCATGAAATAAACAAAGAGCCTGTTAATATTTTACTCTGGTCTCAAAAAAAAATCTTAGCTGGTCTCTGTAGTCCTCAAAGAGATGCCTAACATACCATGATAGATCCTTAAGTGGATCTGAAATGGTATAAATCAAATCATAACTTTGTATCTGAAAGTCAAATAATACATCATTTGTTTTTTGACTAACTCTTCGTTTGACTCAAAGTATATGGTCCAGAGAGGGATGCACTCTAGCCAGTGCACCAGCAGATAACCAAATGCTAAAGGTCACTGGTTCTTGAGAACAGACCTCGTATGAACATGAGGAGAAAATGAGAAGGATGTATAGATGTTGTATACATGCCACTGAGGCCAAGTCTGAACTCATGGCCCTCTAGGAGGTCGGCGGGGATTCTGCAGAGTGAATCACTGAAACTGCCGGTGAACCAAACATCCTCATGGTTCACGGTCTTTTCAAATTGCATCTCTGGTTTTGTAGCTTACAATTGTTTTGCTGCAGCGTGGATCCTTACTAAATCAGTAGATATAGATACACATTGTCTTTATCCCTGGAGGGCAATTTGGGCTTTACAGCAACAAACAGAAAGACGAAGGGACAAAGGCTTCCACCATTGGGAACAAGTGATATATTTTAATAAAATTCTGCAAAATGCGAAAATGAGGAATACACCTGTTAGCCCACTCGTATTAACCTGTGAGAGGCCCTGAATGACAGTCGAGCTGTAATGGAGCTTTTCTGGTTTCTGTAGGTTATTCACATCACTGCTATAAGTTGGTCTGTCTATGACAATGAGAAGTCCAAGCTGACCTTAGAAGAACTTCGCTGACTGCCCGTGTTGTTTGCAGCTGGGGAGTCCACTAGGACCCTGTTGGTGCATGCAAAGGACCCGCCTGTGCGTTCTACATGCATGATCAGTTGGCACGTATGCCGAGGCATGACGAATGGCCTTTGTCCTTGACTGGAAGACAAGCTGATTGTTATGGTAAAAATCCATACTTTATAAATGTGGTGTTTCCATTCAGGGCCATATCTTGACTGGTTATCTGCTTTCTTAACACTTTCAAAGCAGTAGCTGGCTTTACTTGGGCATGTTTCAAGTACTTCTAAAGTGTTATTCAACAAATTTAGATTTTATGTTTAAACTTCAAGGGCCCACTGTGCTTCAGTTGTTCTTTTTTGTAGTTTCTGGCTGATGAGAGATGCTTGTTATTGGGACTGTCTGATGTGCTTTTTTAAAGCCTCTGTTTGGTACTTGGTCAATTAACAATCCTTTAAATGGTATGACCCACCACCACTCCCAATTAAAGGCATATGTCCATTGCACAAAAAAAAATATCTTGCACCCTGAAGAGGACAGGCAGTTCCTCTTCTCGAGAAGCACTTGTAACGGAAGAGGTGATAATTTTTCTCCATTCAGATGGAATGGGTCCGGGACTGTAAGGATTGAAGAAACAAATATAATGTGTCTGCAGAAAGTCAGCCGTAGCTCAAGGTGGCAGCATGACAAATTGATTACGGCACTTTTGGCAGTGACAACCACTGGAATGGGAGCGACGTGTGAAACTATGGGATGAAAATACGAGAAAGAATCACAACTTTGAGTCATCCATAAGTTTGAAAGGAACTGAGAATTCGTTTTATTGTCAAACCCTGGTTCGATTGTTACCTGACGTATACGAGCTCGCTTGGTGTGATTACGCAGATGAGGCCAGCAACAGGTCCATGTGGGTGGAATGTCATTGGATTCTTACAGAAAGAATTACCAGGTCCACTTCATATTACATATAGCCTTTTTCAGATTTGTCATGGTTGCTTTTTTATTTTTTTCGTCCGTGGTTTGTCCTTCGGGGCCTCTTACGGTTGTGGTAGAGTGAGGGTTAAAGAACTTGCACAACTTAGAAGCGAGTAAGAAGTGGACCCCCGCCAACCCCACCAACTCCGTGTTCAACATCTGGATGGAGGAAGGCCATTAATCCAGGAAGTATGCGTAGCTCTGGGGGAAGGGATGCGCTTGGCTCCAGATGGAATTTCCTAACTTTTACTGGGATGACTGGATGTAGTTTATACTGCCGGGAAGGAGTCACAAATCAGGAGCATCAAGATCTTCATCTGGTGTTGGGGCAAACATCACGTTATCCTTCCAGTAACCCTGAAGGAAAATACCATCCCTAGGCTGAAGCATCTGTGTGTGAATGTTCTGGTGGCGGTGTGGAGGGATGAATAGTTCTGGGTGGAGAGCCCAGAGGACAGTAGGCTGAAGCCCAGCTCTGTGGATTAGTTGAGGCAGCTGTTGGGAAGTTGTTCCACAGTGAGGTCAAAGCTCCATAGTTTCGTCGTTACACAGTTTCTCTCAGCACTTTCTGCGTCCTGGTACCCTGGACTCTGTCTGTCTTGCCATACCTTGGATACGCTTCCTGCTGCTTCGTGGAGATGCGTGGGGAAAATATGAACATTGTCTTAGTTATAAACACTACAGCTTGTTACCTTCTAAGCTGTGTGGTTCTCAGAGATGTAATTATTAATTTTTGGGATAGGGCGAGAGCATGTACATTTTGTTTTGAGCATTGTAGAATTAAACATTTAAAGATGTTTTCTCTTCCTTTCTTTACTTGGTTTTTGTTTTGCACTCTCTGCAAGTCCTTTACATACACATCTGCCTTCTGATGTTATGGCCAAGTTGGACAGCCAGAGAATGTTCGATTCACCTTTATGTTCCTCTGTTACTCATTGAAGATTCTAGCAGATTGAGCTTTAAGTTTGCAGATTTAAAGTTAACCAGACTTCGTCTGTGGTCTTCGCTTTCAAGTGAAGTTTAGGAGGTTGCATATATTGACCATTTGTGGTAGGTTCTTTTGACGGTTTAATGGTTTCTGACATTAAAATTTGAAGCTTGCTGGAGGGAAATGCATTTTATGAATAATTTCCTCCTTTTTATTTTATTTGTGTACACTCGGAAGTCACTGGGATTGATCTGTATAGTTATGTATTGGCATGGAAAGCTTGTAAAACTCCACAAATGGCAGGCAGTGATCTGTAAACAACCTGGATTGTGAGTCAGGGCTACATGTGAGAACATGGGATTTAAAAAAATAAAAAAAAAAAATCTTTCTATATATTTTTTTATTAGTCTTAAATGTAACATTCTGTGGAATTTACATATTTATTTTGTCAGCATTTCGGCTAACCTAAAGTCTCCAAGAGGAAGTGATGCTTGCATTTTGCCGATTT